ATTTTCATGAATTTGCTTGATTAACGGAAAGTAAGTGATTCGTTTGTGAAAAAAGTGGAAGTAGATAGGTGCATCGTTTGTGAAAATAGTGGAAGTAGTCGTGAAAATAGTGGAAGTAGTCGAAAGGAAATCTAATTTTTCATATTTCGCTGAATGAAAATAGTGCTAATTTTTTATATTTCGCTGGGAAACGCTTAGTTCGAGACCTCGAGTAGTTTGTGGACGAGAAATTCTAATATCGAGAAATTCTAATATCGTGTTTCTTTTCTATATGATGCGATTGATGTATAGATTTACTAGTATGTTATAGGATCTCTCGAATTCGGTTTAGGTTATTCGTATTTAGTTTCGGTCGGGCGATGTGTAGAGATGAGAATTTTCGATTTATGAATGTTTGATTTGGCAGGATTTTAGACGAAGATTTCTGATTTTAAAATATATTTTCTTTTACTTTAGGGGGTCTAAGGATATATTCTTACTCTCGAAATTTCTATAATGATTCGTAGAATTCCAAAAAATGTCTCGTTTATATTTGCGGATTTTGCGAAACTCCGGTATATATTTGTGCCGAATATTATTTATTTTACCTAATCCGAGAACCCTTAACAAAGAGAAGCGAAAAAAATTTAATACAACCTATTATATCCTTTACAAAGAGACGAGGAGTCGGATTACAAAGAGACGAGGAGTCGGATCCCCTGAATTCGATTTAAGGGAGAGATAGAATCTTTTGGATCCAAGAATTACGTCTCGGAAGCTCTATTATTAATAAATCACAGATTCAGCAGGATTTTCTAGGATTGCCCCGGCCTTGGACGTAATATATCTTTAGCAATCTTGATTTAAAGAGGATCTTGCTCTCGGAGATTCCTAGGAAGCGACTGAGCCTTCTTATCTCAAAAGATCCCCAAATCCGAAATCGGGAATCTGTGCTAGCATGAGGCTAACTATTATGTAATTTCTGGTCTACTTGCTTGAAATTCTCATATTATCTTTAGTCAATCTAGTTGCCGCAGCTTGTTGTTTTAGAGATCGTGCGGAGCCTTGCCTACCTCGAACGAGTCTGAAAGTCGAAACGAGGAATCTCATGACAAAAGACTTCTGTATCCTAATACAGATCCTCTCGATTCGAACCCCCCGTAAGACGATAAGCCGGTGCAAGAGTGACTAGATATTTTAATTTTCTTCGGGGATCCCTAGCAGCTAGTATGGTCATAAATCATGGTATATCCATCCGATATCTTCGTGAGAATCGTCACTTTCGTCGTAAATACGCCAACAATTATAAGACTAGGTTCCCCGACTCTAGGATTTTCGTGAATATTGGATATAGATAAACCGCATTTTCCATCTATATCGCACCCAATTACTAATCCTCAATCCCTAAATTCAAATCTTAAAAAACCTCATGACACAGGAGGATACAGGTCCAAATCCCAACCCCAACCCCAACCCCACCCCCCACTACCCCGCCATGGGGAGGAAGAAAAAGAAATTAAATACTAAATCTAAACCCTATATTCCACCCCACACCACAACACAGAGAGACGAGGAATAATTAAATACTCCCAGCAAATAACCTCCAGGGGTGGGGAAGGCGGGAGAAATATATTGAGGGGGGGGGGACCACAATATAGACCCGAAATCTTCGTAAAGATCATTCTTTCTATCTCCAAAATGCCAATAATTAGAGAGATATATCTTTAAACCTGGGATCCTCGCGAGTATTATAACGATAGAGATTATATAATTTCGTGATATATCCAAAATAACGAAATATCTTAGATAGCCCAAGATTTCGATCTACGCCGCCCCAGTTACTAATAGTCATCCCGAAATCCTTTCATATCTATATATCTAAATCCTATACAACCCGAGAATCGATAACACAAAGAAGGAGGGTGCAAAACCCTGAACCCAAGACCCAGAATTCCCCCCTCGCCGCAAAGAAGGAAGAAAAGGATTTAATATTGAACCTGGCCCATAATCCATCTCAACCTCACAAAGAGACGAAGAATAGTTAAACAACCCACGCAAACGATTCGCAGATTCAGAATATATCTTCGGACCCCCCGAATCCGGTTCAAGGGAGAGGGATATTCTTGCTCTCGGTAGTTCTCGGGAATCTTCTGGATCCAATGTTGTGTCTCGGAAGCTCCATTATTAACGAACCACAGATTCAACAGGATTTTCCAGGGTTGCCCCCGGCCCTGGACATAATATATCCTCAACAACCTTACTTCAAAGGTGCCTAGATATATTCTTGCTCTCAGTGGTTCTGAGGAAGTAACCGAGCCTTATATCACAAGAGATCTCTAAATCCAGACCCGAAACCAAATGCAAAACCTAAACCCGAAACCCGAAACCGGGAATCTGTGCTAGCATGAAGCCAAGCGGCTGGGGGCTCTTATGTAATTTTTTATGAATTTATTCGTTGGTTCTCATATTATCTCTAGTCAAATTAACTATCATATATTGTTATTTTATCAAAATGAGATCGTGCGGAGCCTTGCCTACCTCGAACGAGTCTGAGAATCGAAACCAGGAATCTCATAATATAAGGTTTCTGCATCCTAATACAGATCCTCTCGATTCGAACCCCTCGTAGGACGATAATTCGGTGCAAGAGTGACTAGATATTTTAATTCTCTACGGAGATGCCCAATAGCTAATATGTCCATAAATCATGGCTGGAAATAATATTATTTATTTCTATTTCTCCTCCTTATAGATATCCATCCGACATTTTCGTGAGAGTCGTCACCTTTGTCTTAAAAATACCAATAATTATAAGAAGGGATTCCCGAACCTGGGATTTTCGTGAATAATTATAAGAAGGGATTCCCGAACCTGGGATTTTCGTGAATAATGAATATAAATAAGTCGCGATTTCGATCTGCGCCGCGCCCAGCTACTAACCCTTAATCCTAAATCTTTTTATATCTAAGAAATATTAAATGTTAAATATCACCATATACAAGTGGGTGCGAGTCCAAACCCCAATCCCAACCTCATCCCGTCATCTACTACATATCCCGCCACAGCGAAAAGAGAGAGAAATAAATTACTAAATCTAGAACCTACAACCCGTCCCACTTCACGACACAGGGAGACGAGGAGTAATTAAACTAAAGAGCTGTTCGTAAGTATAAATTATACAATGATATAAATTGTACAATTTCGTGACGTATCTAAAACAAAGATATACAACTATATAGATCACAATTCTATTCCCACCCTATATCTTTTCATACCTATATATCTAGATCCCAAACAACCCCAGAATCGTAACAAAAAAGGAGAAGACAAATCCTAAATCCAATACCCATAACTCCCCATCCCCCCACAAAGAAAGAGAGAAAAGAAAAATTTAATGCTAAATTTTTAAAGCCATAACCCGCCACAAGCTCTCAAAGAGGTGAAGAAATTAAATAACCCACGCAAATATTGGGGCCCGGAGAAATATAATGGGAGGAGTAAGGCGGGGGGAATAAGTATAAGGGGGAGGGGGAAAGAGAGGCAGAGAGGCGGAGGGGGGGAGAACATCATTTTTTCATATATCTTCCTATCTTTTTATGCAATTTCTTCTCCTAATTTTTGCCCATATATCAATAAATAAATAACAGCTCAGAATATTTACTTATTTACTAAATAAAATATTTTTTCGTATATAAAAATATATATCAATTATAAAATAATCTCCCATCTATCCCTTTTAATCTCTATCCTCCAATCACCAAGACCTTAATATTTATTGATATATCTATTTTAAAAATATCTATATTTTGAATACAGAGTATAATATAATATTAATTACTTAAATGTATTTCTTATAAAGATCGAAATATTAAATTCTTCTTCTTTAGATCTAAAAAAGTTTATAATATTTCTATTTTGCCAGCTTTAATTTTACGGAGTTTTATGATACCAACCTTGTTCTTACTAAACTAGATTATCCTGTAGTATCGGTTGCTCGTTGATGTGTCATATTATTCTCCAATAATATTTTTTTGGCTTAGTAGCCCCAGAGCTAAAAGTTGAATTCCAAACCTCGACGCTCCCAAGTGCACAACCTTGGCCATAAAACCCCTGTGACCTGCGACCTCTAAACCTTCCCACAAAGAGGATAGCCGGTGCTAGTAATTCTTGGCCCGCGACGGCTGTGAGACCTAAGGATGAGGATGGACGTGCAAATTTCGGGTTTAGTGGTTTGGGCTTTTGGCTTCAGTATTGGAAGGTCCATACGCCGAAACGTCCGAGGACCATCTAGAATCCAGATATCCTTGTATGTGATAAGCGGCACAGGTGCGAACTGGCCAAAAATTGCATGTAAGACCTAGCTTTGTGTTTGAATAGATATGTGACTTGTATGTGCCATATATGTAAGATACGACCACCTGCTGTATCGCCGTCATGACCGTTGACACACCAGCGCAGATTGGCAGCACGGTGGCATCTTTTTGCGCGTGCTTGAAAGCAATAACAAGGTATCGGAACATCCCCGCTTCTTTTTCAAACACCCTCCGCACTTGTGGGGAGGCGGAACCATGATGGGCGCAAAGAAGGCACGCGGCCTTGCTGTTACAATGTGTTGTAGCACTGACTCTCGCAAAGATGCACCTTCTTTCTCTTCAGTATGCTATGAAAAAAAGGCCTGAGGGATGACTTGGTCAAAATGCCGCTTCCGCAGCAAGGATCCTCCTACAATTCTGGTCCGACGGGCCGAAACACGGCCGGTTACATCACCATGTTGAGCAGCTTGCCTCAGACGGCTTTGAGTTTGAGGCTTTGGGTCATGCTTTCATTCGATTACTGCAGCTGTTTCCCGAACTTCCCTCGCCCTAGAGCAGTAGAGCATGCTTGAGATTTTGCTCGAACCACTCCCCATTGTGCAAGAAGCATACGGCTGTCTAGATGAGGAGCGACTCCGGGCTTTCAGTTGTCGGAGCTCTCAAGATTCCGAGGAGGTTCGATTAGTTGGTGAGAGGGGGCGGGAGAATTCAGGCCCAGCTGCTGATCACTGGGAAGAGGGCGAAGCTGATTCCGCTGGTCATACCCACCTGCCCAAACACGTGGGGATCAACGGCTGAGAGGGATTGGGGCCTGGAGTTGAGCCTATTGCTTGGAGCCTGCCAGGCTGCTGGGCTTTTGGACTCACTGGCAGTGTACGTAGATCTTGCTTGGCTTCCAAGAACACCACGGTCAAGTTGTTTCAAGGACGACACACTGCGACGTCGTTTTCGGCCCCGGGCAGTACCTGCACGCAGCGCGGGATCGCGCCAGAGAAGAAGGCGGCAGGGCCCTCGTTTCTGAGCATCTTGGTCCTTGGGCATCACGTGTCTTAATCCCGCCAGTGCCTGCACGCCAATAAACCGATAAACCCTAAACCAGCCAACCCCAACGCCCAAGAGGCAAAGCTTTTTTTCAAACAAAGAACCGTGTCAAGGCCCTTAACCCTCAACTTCTCAAGAGGTTGTGAAGGGGCTTCGGGCTTAAGGACCCTAGCCGCGGCACGCACAGTCGAGAGTTCCGGAGTAGAGCTCCTGCCATGGGATAGGGCTCAAGCTTCAAAATTGTCGGGTTTAGAGAAGAGCTGGAGCTGTTTAGGGCTCAGGATTTGAAGTCGGCGAAGGGCGGTTTAGCATGAAGGGCTGAGGGCTCAGATACGTGGGCAGAAACCAGGCTTTTCTGGCTAAGCCGATGCTTAAGGCCCCAAGGCCTGCCCCAGGCCCAAATTCCGCGCGCACACACACACACACACAGGCACGCACACACACACACAGAGACACGCGAATCTTCCCCAATTCCTAAAACCTCAACACCGTAAATACTCCTAGAAGATCACGAAACACCCCGATTCCCCAAATCCCTCAGAACCCACGCCGCGCAAAGAGTGCGGAAGTCCTTGGCCGCCTCGCCTTGCATTCGGGACTTCACGCAGTCCTCGAGGTAGCCGCTGCTGGGGTTTCTGGCTTTGGGAAGCTTTGGGGGCTTAGGGTTCAGCCACGAAGGATTTGTGAGATTTGCATTTTCCAGGGTTCAAACTTGAAGGATCTTCTCTGTGTGAGATTGCTGTTGTAGCTGCTCTTGAGATATGCGGCCGGGATGTTGCGTCGGAAACCCTTTCTTTCTTTCTTCGTAGCGTGCCGGGTCCAAGAAAACACGCCTAGCAATGAATTCAGGGTTGCACCCATGGCGGGTGCTAGGGCTCTACAATCTTCCGCGCTCTGCGGCAATTTGGACCCTTTTCGGAAAGCCAACAAAATTATCGCATGCCAAGAAAAGCCGACCTGGCAGCTTACAAAAAAGCTTGTCTGCAGACTGACACAACCACCAACTTACAGTTCAAACTTCAATATCCCACAACACTGCCATCCTGCAGCCTTTAGCACGTCTGGTGCATCATGATGCATCAGGTCCGAAGCCCAAAAAAAGTGCACCTTCTGCCATCCCGATCCTGTGGCTGGGTCAGCAGCACGGAACCGCAACCCGCCAAGAAGCCGGCAGCACCGTTCCTGTGCAGGCACTCAGCTCACACTACTGCTGATGCTACTCCAGGGCTCAAGACATTTAAACTCCGCGGAATTTCATACAAAATACATCGAAGCTCATGCAGCCCTCAGGCCCCAAGCCCTGGGACTCTTTGGCGCTTCCTTCGCCTCTTGTAGAAGGTTCTGCCGGTCCAAGAGCATGTCTTTTGTGGGGGTCCATGGGCTTCAGGCCGGTGTACCATGCTTAGGGTTCCAGTTGGACCAGCCTAAACATCGAATCCTCCATGATTCCTTCGAGTTGGCCATGTGCCCCAGACCCTTGGCAGTCAAGTGGCAGAAGAGGATTCTGCTTTTGCGACTCGTCGCCAAAGGAGATGACACCGAAGATGGCCACCTGGTTTTGGGGTTGACGCTCTTTTGGAGTTCGGGCGGGATCGGAGCGGACACGAGAGCTCCCAGCTGCAGGCAAAAGGGACATGCAGCGGTGTGGGTTCCGCATCGACCTTATGACTTTGCTCGGGTGGACTGGAATGGGCATTTGGGCCAGGACCTTGGAATCATGACAGTTATGACTTTATGGTTAAGGCCTGTGCCGTCTGACCCTGCCCTGTTTCCAGGGATGTGTACTGTATGCACATTGACTTTATGCTGCCCTCCGAGTTTGCAGGACGGTGATGGATCTCCAGCACGCATTAGCACACGCAAAAGGTCATACTGCATGAAGTCAGCTTCTTTCCAAAAGCTGCAGGACAGCACCCCGAATTCCTGGCAGCATACCGTAAGCTGTCCTGTGAAGGATTCCCCCATATGGCGCCGCCTGGTCTTCTTCTGCCTCTTATCTGAAACACTAACCCTTCGAAAAACTTTGAAGCTGCTGCTCAAAGAAGCCCAAACCAGAACGACGCATCTGAATCCACTGAACCCTCGGCAAGCCCAGCATCCGCCTGCAGCGGCATGCGTACTGCTTGGTTGGTGCCCTGCTTCAGGATGGTGGGGAAAGCACCTCGAAGCAGGTTCGGGGTCAACAACTGTGAAAATTCAACATCAAGGCAATTGAGGCTGAGTCTTAACAATCAAACCCTAGTCTCTGATCCACACGCAGCTCGGATTCCTGACAGTTGCTTGAATTCCTTGACCAGTGTTGTTTTAAGCCCGATCAGACAAGCCACATGTGTACATGCTGAGCCTCACAGAGCCGCACACCCAATTCCTGAACTTCAATTCCAAACATTCCTTCCACACCGCCGGCGCCCCTCGTGCTCCTGCACTCCAAACAAGCCTTAAAAATCCAGCCCAGGGCCTCGGTACAAGCCCAAGGGTCCCTCGGACCGCAAAATCTTGACCTCACATCTTTGTGGGCGGAACAAGGAACAAGGTTTTACGTTTGTCTGGGTGCGGGAGGTTTAGGGCTTCAAATCTGGGTATGGCGTCTATGACATATCTGTGAACCACGAGCAGCTCTTGCAAACCACGGAGTCGCACGTACTGCGGTGCATCAACCTCTTGGCGAAATCCCATTGATACCATGCACCCTGGGAGGTAAATCTAAACTGCAAGTCCTTGCGCACAAACCCCGACTTCCAAAGACCAAAATTCTGCACCCCGAGGGCATTCAACATGGATCATGCAGGAAGGTCTGAGGAGCGTGCGATGGCATCCGCGGAGCCCTGGGCAGAGGGGTTTTGAGTCTGCAACTGCGGACTCACAGCGACATATGCCCACAGCAGACAGTGAGTGACGCTGGTGATGGCGCTGATGACGACGCTGATGGTGAAGATGGGTGACGTTGGTGGCCATGCTGGTGTTGGTGGCAATGGTGGCGTTGGTGGTCGCGGTGGTTGCGGTGGATGATGAGCCAACAGCTGGTGACGATCATGGTTGTTAAGATGTCGAGAGTTGACATGGCGCCGTGCAAGACAACATTGATCGCAGCTGCAATTTTGCTGAAAGTGATGCTACTGATGATGACGAGGAACAGTTCAAGGGCTTGTAGCAAACTCGAGGACAACGCCCGAAGCTACACCGCAAGCCTAAAACAGATGTTCACTGCTTCAGCGAGCTTGGACTGGTGTCGGCGTGTTGCGCCTAGACACCAAGCCCCCTTTGAGGAGCAACCGGCGTCTTCCTTTGATTGTGACTTCTATCAATCATACTGTATATGGTTGTAATCTTGCTTCTGCAAAATCATAGATTATCTGACATACTGTTCCTGACGTTTCAGCATGCAGATTGAGCATCCTGAGATCGTGGTATGTTTGCCCGTTCGTTCTTTTTTGCAGGCTTAGCATCATCAATACTACTCCAGGTGGGCGACATGAGTGGGTAAACTGCAGGAGGAGGGGGAGGAGGATATGGCAGTAACATGGGGCATCTGCGGGAGGGGCAGCCAGATTTGGCAGTTGGACTCACGCCAGCTCAGGGCCACGAGCCTCGTAGCAGTCACAAGCAAGGCGGCTGCGGACAAGCACAGGGACGGAATTGAGGGCCAGGGCTGACAGAGCAGGAAGAGCGGAACTAGGAAAGAGGTGCAAGAGCCCCAGCCACCAAGACACAGTGGAAAAACCACGGTAGAAGGAGACAGACAAACCGCCAGAGTGAAAACGCACCCCGGGACGAAACAACCAATAAGCAACACAATGTGGAGCCAAAACGAAACCAAGGGAGTACACAAGTGGGAGACATGCGAGACAAGCAAGGTCAACAGAAGAATCCAGCCAAGAGCCAAGAGCACTTAACAATTCAGGCAACACAGCTATGGTCGCAAAGGGACCAAAACACCCCCAACCAGGGCTGCAGGAGAATCAAATGCAAGTATGACAAAGGGACTATCGCTGATGCGGCATCAGGGGACGGGTTTGAGCGTTCTCCCCGGCATGGCAATCCCAACCTGGCACACCCAAGCAAGGAAAGGCGCGCTAGACCACTCCGCGCGGGGGCGAGAGCTAGAGGAAAGGGGGTGGCCAAACCAGGCTCTGGCATGGACACCATCTCCCCTTGTCAAGCATCCATCCACACAGAACTGCGATGGAGACCCCCTTACCGGAAGGCACGATTCACAAAGCTAAGCGACCTTGTAGTTGCCGGTGCCCCTTCTCTGGTCGTCGGTGACCCGGGTCTTGACAGTCCTAAGATAGACAACAAGAACTTGACGGACAACAAGAGCTTTACGGCACAGGGATTACCTACTGCTCAGAGGCGGAAGTACGCTCTAAAACCTTGAAACCTCCGCTGTCTGAACCACAAGCCTTCGACCCGACATCGAAACCTAGACTCCCGACCTTTGGTCTCAACTCACAACCCCTGAACCCTAAACCCTAGACGCACGTGCAAAGCTTGGAGCGATAACTGACAAGGCTCTCCACCGGGGTAACTGCGAAGACCGCTTCGCAAATACCGGCACCGAGGCCGCAAATCACGTTCATGGATTGGCTGAGCTTGCCTGCAAGACAAGGTTTGAAGACTTTTAGGTTTTGTAAGTTTGGGGTTTGGGTTTATGTGGATCAGTGCTTACATGGCTCAAGATTCGGTGCTTGGCTGACGCCGAAGCCCTGCCTGTCTTCTCGTCACGGAAGATCTGCGTAAGATTAGTATAGGCGCCCCACCTGCGTTTGGGATTCACGGGGCATAGCGGGTCTGAGCATTCCATGGGCTTCACGAGTGTGCCGTCTGGATAAAGATTCCTTTCTGTTGCCTGGTTTGAGGTTGAACTAGTCTTCCTCGGAATGTCTTGTTTCCGTGTCGCAACCGAAGAGTTCGTCTTAAGGAGTCTTCCATGATGTAAAGACTCTGCTTAATCAAAGGACGTTCGGAGTCGCTTGGGCAGATGTCAACACCTAGAGGGTCCAGGTTTAGGGTTGTGGGTTTGTAGGTTCTGTATAGGTTTGCGATCAGGGCGAAGTCCTGCAATTTTGGGCGCTGAAATTTGAAGACTGGTCGAAGTTTTATGGTTACTTTACAAATGTACTTGACAACAAGTGTTGTACACAACCTCGGAATTGCCAGACTTTTTCTCAGGTTCAGGCACACAAGCTCAGGCCCAAGGTATCGCAAAATAAAGCACGAAAGAGCTGGAAACCAGCACAAAGCTCAGATTTGGTGCTGGGGTGGGGCAGGCAGGAAGAGCCGCAGCCACGGTCTGAACGCAGGTTTTCCCGATGGCATCAAGCAACCGACATGCTAAATCATGATAGCAAGCGAAGGATTGCAGGATGCTGTGCTTTCAGGCATCAGTGAAATTCAAGATGCATTATCAAAGCTGCGATGCTGCTAGTCATCGCCACAGCCTGGTCGGCTTCCGTCGGCTTCGGCAGCTACTAATCAACTTCAATATATGTTGGATGCACAATCCAAAACAAGAGGAAGAAGTAGCAGTGAATATTTGCATACATAGTGATCTGCATCGAAGCCACCCTTCGAAGTACGCAGAGCAATCCCTACAGTTCGAAACTCCACAACTGGCACAGCACCGGCCCTCAGCGAACCAGGACCTTTTTTGGACTCCCCCCACTATCGCGACCGGCATACCCCAACTACATGATCGCTATGTTTACGTGGTCGCTTGGAGGCTCAACTTACAAACTCTTGAACATACATCGTGACATCGATCCTCAGGAGTCATGAGTACGGATGCAAGATTTAAGTGCTTTAGGCTGTAGGGTTTCAAGCACAGTTACACACGTGACCGTTCAGACTTAACACCAATCAAATTGTAACCCTTTCCTGATCTAGTCTTCGAAAAGAGATTTGCAGGAAAAGAAAGTGGTCCCTAGTCAGAGTGTAGAAAGCTGAAACAGTAGAACCGTGTGGACTCCGAAGCCACGTTAACGCGGCCTGCACATTTGCTGAAATCCTGCACCGATGATGCGCACCTCTGGCGGTTCGATCTTTACGACTTTTTCAAAATTGTCAGAACTCAGGACCTGTATTCGGGGTTTAAGGCTTCAGGTTTGAAAAAAAAAACATCTCAGAGTTGAGGGCTTAGGTGTGGGATTGGGACTTGTGGCTTCGAGATCGGGCGCAACGTTCAGAATCTTAAACGTGTTTACTCCATCATCACTCACGGCCTTTCCTTTTCAATTCCGAACTGGGTCTCCCCGCGCCGGCTCCTCGATACAAGCCCTTCACTCCATGCTGATCGATGGTCTTTTTGGCACAGTCGATGATGCCGGAGTACTCGGGGTTCGTCTTCCTGATTCACAGAACACATTGCCGGCATCGCGATCATGATGCAAAGACGGTGGTCATCCGGAAAACAAGAGCGGTACTAGTGATAATTATGATAAGAGAAACTGTTATCACACCAAACAAACCCTCTTGACACTAACAAAAATTACGTAGAAATTTCATAGCAATGGCCGGTGAAGGACTCAAAGCCAATAAAAAACGCACCCTGTTTACATGCACGTTCGAGGAATGCAAAAGATCAGCATAAAGGCCAATATCCGGCGTTGTGGGCTCTTGTCTGCACCTGTCTGACGCCTTTCCCAACGTCTGCTCAAGAGATCACGGTGATACGTGGAGCAGAAACCAGACGTGCTCTCAACACGCCTTCACAGCAAGCAATACCTCAGGATTCAAACCCTGCCTCCTAGAATCCAGAATCCTGCAGCCGAGACGCGACTGCAGTTGGAGTTGCGTTTTCACGTACCTCGATTTTCGGACATCGGGTTGACCTAAGGTTCGAGGGTGTAGGTTTGCTAAAACCATGAGGCTTCACTGTAGGATGAATGTTTCGTACAAGGACACCGCCAAAACCACCCCTGTTCTGCCCAGCCTTGGGTTACGTGCATCACAAAAAAGGGGATTCTGAGATTTGAAAGGCCTATTAGTAAGTATCCTGCTACTGAACGTCTCTATCGGGATCAATTGTTTCAGAAACTACCACATAAAGCTCCGGGCATTTCGTCCAAACCCCAAATCGTCGAGGTCCGCGGCCGAAGCTCGTCGACTGCTTGAAGCCCCAAACTCTACTGAACATGAAACACTTGAACCTCATCAAAACCCCTGCAGCGAGGCAAGGAACTCCGTCGGGTAGGTGATGGCCGCCTGCGTGCCTCCAGTGAGGAAGCCCTGCCAGGTACGCAAGCTATTCATCTTCCATCCAGACATGTCGACGGTTTTTTCAAATCTGGCTTGCACTCCCAAACGGACACAGCAACTGTGACTCAGAAGGATAATAAAAATCTGTCGTGCAGTAGGTTGCGGCTACAAAAATTGAACAAGTGTCGGTTCATTACCACGCGTCCATTCCAACAAACTTTGCCCCGCTTATTGAAGTGCGATGTTTTGAAAACAGCATCGAGCTATTTCCGGAGTGAGGGCTTCTGGCCAACATGCCAGGACTTGAGCTGCGCAAAGACATCAAAGTCGTGCTGGCCCGGATGGTTAGAGTCTCACATTCCATGTCGTTAAACCGTGGAGTCGTCAAGTCCGTAGCCATCATTCCCCTGCCACTCCTTCACAACGGTCTTCACGCCAGAATCTTTCTTGGTGACGAATGCCATCGGCAATGCGCAAGTAAAACTACAAAATTTAGACAGCAACTAGCTGAGAACCAAAAGCAACCGGAATGATATTGACATGAACATCGACAAATCCTTGTTCTGAACATGAAAAGCTCATGGGTTTGGCGAAAATTAACGCGTTTTGGACAAAATCTTCCGTCAAAGGTTTGATAACAGCAACGGATCCTGCTGAGAATTACACGAACAGCATTCTTTATCGACCAAAGAAATTTTCGTCCGGAGTAACGTACCTAGCTGCAAAAAAATAAATTGAATCACACATGAAACGTCTTCTCCGACAGACAAGAAAGCAAATCCCGCTTTCTCCAGCCACACTCCTACGAAGCAGACTAAGCGAAAAACGCTGCTCCAAAGACCTTTAAAACCCTTTGAACCCTTCTTTAATAAACGGCTTGGAGGGTTGGCGGTTTGAAACGGGTTTCAAGCCTCTTCAAGAACAAACCTGCGGAATACACTCGACACAAACAAGTTGGAGCGGAAGCGTGGTTGTTTGCCTGTTTCCATTCTCAACATTTTGTTATTTAATGTATCAATATCATATTCAAGCACTATTCTTGTCATATTCTCTAATTTCAACTTTTTTGGTATTTTTTAATTAGTATCTTACACATTTTATGATTTTATTTTAATAATATTTTTTAGACAAACAGGACACCGGGCCCGGATGATCCAGGTGGAACTTAGCAAACTTCAAATCTGGATGGAAATCCGCTGGAATCTGCTGGTTGCTCTGCCACTTGCGTGTCACACGCTTGTTCAACATTTTACGGTAAAGGGAAAAACTCCGCCAGTTCCTACGGTTTTTTGAAGGTTCAGGAAGGGTGTTTGGACACCGCGGAAACTCTTCGAAGGAACCAGGGTGACACTCTGACTGTCGCGTCCGACGCACACTAACCAACACAAACAAAAACCATAAACAATGATAACAACAATAACCATAACATCACCAACAATCAAAACAAAACAAACAACCAAACAAACAAAAAA